CACCCTGGACAGGTCGCAAGTCTATCATAGGGCCACACATAGAGACAAACGAAACAAACAACCACTCACTCTCTCACTCACACCTGGGGACAATTTAGAGTTATCAATTAACCTAACAGTCATGTTTTTGGTCTGTGGGAGGAAGCCGGAGTACCCGGAGAGAACCCACGCCATGTTGGTATGTAACATGTTAATTCTGTACTGTGGAGATCAAGAGTCGTTGTCGGGTGAAAACATCTTTTGCTAACACTGTGTTGACCGTGAACCGGAAGTGATCGGAGTGGCATCCAGTGCTGGACTGGATGTCCGTGGCATATAGGCTATAGACCCCATATTTGAGGAGGGGGCTCCATCTAAAAAGGGGGTGTCTGGACATATAAAATGCTTATAACTCAAAAAGTATTTAACATAGAAGCTTCAGGCTTTCTTTTTGTTTGTTTAGCTCTGATGAAGGGCTGTCCATCGGGCCCATCAATGCCCTCCCCCCCTCCCCCACCAAAGAAAAAAAAATCATTTCTGGTGAGTTCATTGGTGCTTTGTATACGTGCAGGGCTCATATATGCTAACCATATTTAGTTTTGAAATGCCGTTGTAGAAATAGTTTCACATTCATTCAGTCGAGAGTTTCCGTTTGATCCCTTTCTTGTAAAAATGAAGAAGTTATTTCCTCTTTTTTATTTTGACGACTCAGGCATGGAAGCATCACTGGCGTCTGAACGTGTGATTGGTAATACTCGGGGCAGTTTTGATGTTTGAACCCACGTTTTTACACCGCCTGCTTTTATCGTATGAAACGGTTCAACTTCAGAGAGGTCTCGGAGAACGGCTGTACGAGGTGCTTACTCGTAGCACAAAACACCTGGAGGACACGGAGCTCTTTTCTTTTATTTCATGGCTTGGAGAAAGACATAAAGCCCTGCAAATTACAACAGACTACAAACCACTGGGAGAGGCACCTGAGATAAGGGGCTTTGATGCTGCGTCTCCACCACTGCCCCCAAGCAGCCATCCATCAACAGAAATCTGAAGCTTAGAGGAGATCAGAAACCTCAAAATGTTCTTTGCTTACTGCACAGCACAGARTGCCACTGCTTCTCCATCTTCCATCGTACATCAGTGGCAGTTAAGACACATATTTCAGTGTCTCAATGCTTGTCAAAGAAATTCAAACAGCAGTTTATAACAATGACAAGATTTCTTTCCATTAAAAACTGACACGCTTTAGAAAAGTGCAACATCGACCGTTTTAGTTTCTGACATTTTTTTTACAAGCTCCTAATTTTAAGTGATTTTATTTATTTTATTTTTTTATAAGATTTTATTGTCCTACTTTCTGAAATTTGTTTTCAGATCAGTGATTTGTAAGTTCAAAGGGAGGTTGAAGTTGCTTTAATGGTTTTAAACTTGTGTGTATCTTTAATTATACATCAGAAATTATTAGGCAGTTAGAAATTAATAACCATGGCTGCAGCCAATGATTATTTTGATAACCGATTAATCTATCAGTTATTCTGTTGATTTATCAAGTAATCAGTTTTAAAATGTAAAAATTGTCATGTTCTTCAGTAATTACTTTAGTGTATTTTATGAAAAATACAATTATTAATATTGTGAAGGGGTAATCTACTTTCTGATGAACCTGCTGTAATCAAAGTAAAATTACTGAACCAGTTGTGATTACTTCATGCATTTGCAGCTTGTATTTATGTGTGTGAGGTTTAAGGGGGCATTAGTTAAAAGCACTCTGTCATTGAATGATTTTTAACCATCACAGAAAAGACTAAATGCTGTAAATTTTATTTTTATGGATTGAAAAATTGAATGTGATATTTTTGTTAGAAATTTGAGTTATATAAAAATGGGAATGTTGCACATTGAGTTTTACAGAGTACACTTGTTGTTGTTAATAGTAAAAGTAAATTCATATTTTGATTATTAGGTTGGTGCAGGGTTCCCTAGCTAAAGACTAATAGGACAGCAGTAATAAATAAAGTTTAATAACAGGTTTCAAAGTCATAAAAAAGATGCAGCAAAAAAAAGAAAAATGTCCTATCATCATCTATAAATACTTTTAAACTTGAAATATCCACTCAAGTATCTCATTTAATTTAAGACAGAAGTGTAGCAACAAATAAATGTTTCAGCTCAAGCTGTCAATCTCTTGCTGCGTTTTTCTCTTAATTTGACACACTTACAGTAAGTGTTTTTAATCACAACTTATTCACTGTTAAATAAAACCCTGCCAGGTAGCCACTATGATTAGTCAGCACAAGTGACGTTAGCCAAAATATACCTCCTTGTAGGTTTGTAACATGAGCCCGCGAGGGGACATGGGGGATATTTTTTCTTTTTGCGTTCCCACGCAAAAGTATTGTGTTCCCTCGCAAAAGTGTTTTATCATTGTTGTGCCTGTTTATTAACAAACTCACATGTTTACCATTAGCGAGTTAGTCTACTGCTTTAATTCAGCTTCAGAATGAATATATCACACAACACACATGGAAGTATGTCATATGCCGATATTTTAACACAGTGCAGCCACGCAACATCAATGTCAAGTTCACGAACTTGTGGCGACACATCCTGTTTTGGTAACCGGATATTTCAAAATAAAATTGGATTTAATTCAGTTCATAWACAAATCAATCTTTAGCGTGGGAACGCAAAACAATATTGTGAAGTGACGCAAAAGTATTGCGAGGTAACGCAAAAGAAAAAATCCCCCCATGGCCCCTCGTGGGCTCCGTAGTAACACGACAGATTATCACAAATTCGAGTAGACAAATTTTGCAAAAAGGGAATATAAACAATAATACCAGCTGTTAAATCATGTTTTATACATGCAGCAGCTGTTTTCTTTCCGGTGCTGCTAYATCGAGTACGTGCAGTGCATCGCACTTTGATGTCTTTTCTGTTCAGTTGTAAATGATCCCACGCTTTTTACAATTTCTGTCATTTTCTGAGCACTTCGTTTTGGGACTCCTCATCTTTCTTTGCTAAATATAGCACTTAGCATACACGCTGTAACAGTGCAACCATTAGCGGAAGTGCTAACGTAGCGTTGTGTAACACATAGCATCCCAGATGAACAAGTGTGCTTATTAAAACAATATCTATTCAAGCCAGATAATTTGTCTCAATTATTTTCAGTAATCAGATTATTCGAGGAATTGTCTCAGCACTACTAAAATCAAATGTAAACATTTTTTTAAAGCAGGGGCAGACTGGCCRTTGGGAGTACTGGGACTTTTCCCACTGGGCCGGTGCATCACTGAGCCGGTGCAGGCAGCGAGGGGAAAAAAAAAAGAAAAAAGTTGTGTAGTTGCGCTCAATACCAGTAGATGGCGATAATGCACCAATTCATTGTTCACCAACAAAGACCGAAGAAAAAGAAAAGTTTGCTGAAGAAGAGGAAGAAAAGTAAGAAGAAAACGAACAATACAAATAAGAAGAGCAAAAATGGCGACTAAACGTAAGGGAGGAGAACAAAAATTGAGAGGGAAGAAAAAGCATCTACAAGCAAATTCAGCCAAGTGTCAGAAACTGACATTTATTTTCTGCTGGTGCATCATCATCCTCATCCTCACTGGAACCTACATCTGGAGAACAACGTGACCGGGAGGAGGATGGTAGTCATGTAGGCGGCTGTATTTTTTTTTCTTTCTTTTTTTTTTTGTCAAAAAAGGCGGCTGTATTCTTTTCGAGTTTGCTAACTTTTAAAACAATGCATTTAGCTGTTAAATAAATAAAGCCATTATCATGTGTGGACTAGGTCCAAACTGCTCAGTAGCCGATAATTTTATAAAACTGTTGCTTAAAATGTTTTAACATCAGTTTTAGAAATTTACATCATACATTGGCATTCTAAAAGATAAAAATCATAAATGTTTGTGGTTTTTACAAATAACTTTGCCCACTTGGATTTTTTTTTTACTTTACTTTATTTGTATTTATTGGTTGAACTAAGGTCTAATATACAATAACAGTATATTCAAATGAAAAATAAATTATTTAAATTCACACAGTTCATGTGCTGGAAAAAGAAAATGATACCACATTAGATTATAATAATGTTATTTTTGGCGGGGTAAATCAAAATGAGTAAAAAATGACCATATGAAATTCTGAGGGTCAATACTTGCAAGCTAACTGCTGCTCTGCTATCTTAATAACTTTACTAATTCCTCTACATCACATCCTTAGATTTGTACAGTGCCCTGAGATGATGTTTGTTGTTTCCGACTCTAGCATTTGCAGACATCATCTGCCAGCCCAGACCTTGAATGGGCCAGTCAGTACTAAATTCCCGGGCCACTTTTTTGCCCCAGTCTGCCCCTGTTTTAAAGTAAGCTCACTGTTCTGAAAGTTTTCAAAAATAAGAAAATAGTCCAGATCGTCTCCCATTCATCTGAAATTCATATAGACCACACATAAAAATGTATTTTATTCAGTGTATTAACAAATCATATTATACATCTTATAGGCAATGTTTTGTAACATTTGCTTCACAAACAACAGCATTATAAAAATAAAAGCACATGTAACATATATTGTGATCATGTTATACTGTTTTTTTTTGTCAGGAAATCTGCATCACTGCATCTGTTTATTTTATTTCGTTTAGTATTTTCTTACAAAACGTGAAGTAGAGTTAAAAACGATTGAGTACTCTTGTAGGCGAAGCTAAAAATGGACGAAAATTTTTAACTAAACACGTCTTTCATGTTCTGGTTAAAATGGACGACGATCAAATGAAAACAAGCGTGTCTGGTTTACCTTCRCACGTTGAAGTAAACGTGATGAAGAAAATACTAGAACAAAGAAAAAAACCCACAAAATCATGCCGGTGCTGTAATGATTGTGAGATTACGTTTTTTTCAGCAAATAGCTTCTGTTCATGTGTGACCGATTCCAATTTGTGCAATTTACAAACATCGACACGTTGGTAAAGTATCAGTGGCAGCAGAGTTTGAAGTTTATATATCGAAGTTATTTTCCATCAGAAAAGAAAAGTAATGAGGCAAATATGGTGAAACCCTACTCACTTCTAATATGTTTTATAAATTTATAGGAAAAGCTGACAGATGAACCTCAGCTGTGCTGCTGAGATTCGCAACGACGGTTAAAAAAAGTCTCCAAATTGTTCATTACGSTGCTTTCAGACATCTCTTAACCATCATCAAGCCTGTGGGATAACAGCTCTGTGTGTGCATCTGTGCACTCGGCCACCTGCCCACTTATTAGCTACATAATTTGGTTGTCTCGTATTCGACAGAGTTGGGCTGCTTGGCGCTGAAAGTCTGCAGCGCCGCCTGGATCCTGGCAACGTCCGTGGTGGACAGTTTGAGCCGGTGCCGCAGCAGGCAGGAGAAGAGATCCAGGGGCTGAGCGCCCGGCGGGGACAGCCTGTTGACCCGGTCCCGGATCTCCAGCAGCTGCAGCAGGGCCGAGTCCTGCGATCCCTGAGTGTACGGATAGTCCAGCTGTAAAATCAAGTCCTGGATTGCCTCCGGGTCAAAGTGCATACTGTAGCCATACACCTGGATGCTGTTGATTTTCATGTAGCCCAGGTTCTGGCCTGGTTCCAGGTACTCCAAGGGTTCGAAATATACAGTTCCGTTTCCGTTACTTGAAGGGCCCCGGATCCGGCTGCGCAGGTAAAAGTGGACTGTTTCGAAAAAGGTTTTCCACTTGTTTCCTAAAGACAAAGTCCAGTTGTAACAATCATAGGGAAGGTCTAATTTAGTCCTCTCCCAGTCGGGGTAATTGTTCTGGTCAATGGGCATGATCCAACTTTCTGAGTGACTTCCGCCGAATGGATTGATGTAGACCGATAGCATGGGGTCGAGGGTGCTGTTTTTGGTAAGGCAGATCTGCAACGACATCCCCAGGAGCATGTGGACATGGTTGGACTTGTATTTATTACTTTTCAGAGTCAGCAGCATCCTCTTCCTCCACGACGGGTCAAACCAGTTATTCAGCCTGACATCGTTGCTGACAAAGATCCCATGGATGCTGATGCGGTTGTCCTTCTTCTGCAGGAGGTAGCGCAGCTCCACGTCCTGCAGGTCCGTCTCGAAGCCGATGTAGTGGTCGGTGGAGTCGGGCACTTCGTTGCGGCACACGCCCTGGCTCAGCATGTAGCCCTGGTTGCAGGTGGCGCAGCGGGAGCGGTTCTCGTAAGAGCAGGACGCGCACGAGGTGCCCTCCCCCACCGYGCAGGGGATCACGCCTTGGCAAGGGGGGTGCTCGTAAGGGCAGGAGCAGCTTCGGGTTTTCTCCAGGTAAGAGCCGATGTGGTTGTTTTCACTGCAGTACATGATGGAGAGGATGTAGTTCAGCCAGTAGCTGAAGGGCCTGCAACAGGAGCAGAGCAGTGGATTAGATTGACTGCAGAAATACGCACATCTRTTACATGACGACGTTTAATCCAGCACTTCCTACACTGTAAAAAATAACTTCTGAGATGTACCTGAGAAAATCCTGTAAACGATTTGCACTGATGTTTGTTAAGTAAATTTAAATGCTGCAAATTCATATAATATTTACTCTCATCATTATCTAGTAAAAGTTATTAAGAATATACTTAAAGATTTGTGAATAAATCAGGTAAATTCTACTTAATTTGCTCAATTAAATCTTTTAAGAGATACATATTTCAGTTAAGTAACTAAGTAAGTAAGTAAATTTTATCTGTATAGCACCTTTGACAGACAAACATCACAAAGTGCTTCACAAAGAGCAGAGATACAACAAATAAAAACACAATAAACCATAAAAGCATACAATAAAACATGTTAATGACTAATAAAAATTTTAGCTAAAAGCTTGTCTGAACAACAGTCAACAGAATCAGCCTCACAGAGACACAGGAGCAGGGCGGTCCACAATCTAGGAGCTTTAGCTTGAAAGGACCGGTCCCCTCGAGTTTTAAATCTAGTTTTGGGAACCGTTAGAGGATTTTGGCTCGCAGACCAAAGATTACGGCCAGAAGAGGAGAGTTCGTTTTAGTTTTGTAAAAAGATAATACAGTTCCACTTAATTTTTTTAATTACAGTTTTTATGTATTTTAGTTACCGTATTTATTCGTGTATAATACAACCTCATGTATAATACGACCCCCCATTTTTTGAGCATAAAAAATTTAATCCTCAAACTACCTCCAATTTCATACAGAC